AATAATAATAATACTACAATCCTAGAATTGGAAGAAACTCCACAAAGCGTTGTCTTCCAACTCTAGGATTGTATTATTATTATTATTATTATTATTATTATTATTATTATTATTATCCAATCCCACTTGATGGCCATCTGGGCTCTGCATAATAATAATAATAATAATAATAATAATAATAATAATAATAATAATAATAATAATAATGGTAATAATAGTAATAATAATAATACAAATAATGGTAATAATAATATTACAATAATAAAATATAATAATAATAATAGAATAATAATAATACAATCCTAGAATTGGAAGAAACCCCACAAAGCGTTGTCTTCCAACTCTAGGATATTATTATTATTATTATTATTATTATTATTATTATTATTATTATTCAATTCCACTTGATGGCCATCTGGGCTCTGTATAGTAATAATAATAATAATAATAATAATAATAATAATAATAATAATAATACAAATAATGGGAATAATAATAATAGAATAATAATAATAACACAAATAATGGTAATAATAATAATAGAATAATAATAATAATACAATACTAGAATTGGAAGAGACTCCACAAAGGGGTGTCTTCCTTTGTGGGGTCCCTTCCAACTCTAGGATTCTATTATTATTATTATTATTTATTTATTTATTTATTTATTTACTGCATTTATTGACCGCCGCTCTCAGCCCTAGGGCGACTCGCGGCGGTGCACAACATATAAAAACAGTTTACAAAAGACAGAAACAAGCAATCAATACAACAATAATACTATAAACTAGTTACACTAAATAATCCGCTCCGTCACATCCTGGAATCATAACCAATATCATAATCCGTAAACCGTTCCAATTGTCAATTTCTAATTGCCGTAGCGCTCAGTTGAATGCCTTCTCAAAAAGCCAGGTCTTCAGGCTCCGACGGAAGGACAAAAGGGAGGGCGCCTGTCTGATGTCAGCAGGGAGGTCGTTCCACAGCCGGGGGGCCACCACCGAGAAGGCCCTTTCTCTCGTCCCCGCCAGACGTGCCTGTGAAGCAGGCGGGATCGAGAGAAGGGCCTCCCCGGACGATCTCAAAGTCCTCGTGGGCTTATAGGCCAAGATGCGGTCCGAAAGGTATTTTGGGCCGGAACCGTTTAGGGCTTTGTAGGATAACACCAGCACCTTGAATTGGGCCCGGTAGCAAATCGGCAGCCAGTGGAGCTGGGACAACAAGGGCGTTGTGTGCTCCCTGCGTCCCGCTCCCGTTAGTAACATGGCTGCCGCGCGCTGGACTAGCTGAAGCTTCCGGGCCGTCTTCAAGGGCAGCCCCACGTAGAGAGCGTTGCAGTAGTCAAGGCGGGATGTGACCAGAGCGTGTACCACCGTGGCCAAGTCAGACTTCCCAAGGTACGGGCGCAGCTGGCGCACGAGCCTAAGCTGTGCAAATGCTCCCCTGGTCACCCCTGAAACCTGGGGATCCAGGCTCAAAGATGAATCCAGGGTCACACCCAAGCTGCGAACATTATTATTATATTATTATCATTATTATTACTATTATTACCATTATTATTATTATTATTATTATTATTATTATTATTATTATTATGCAGAGCCCAGATGGCCATCTATCAGGAGGGATTGACTGGTGTCTTCCTTTGTGGGGTCTCTCCCAACTCTAGGATTCCATTATTATTATTATTATTATTATTATTATTATTATATTAGGTTCTTGTGGGTTTTTTCGGGCTATAGAGCCATGTTCTAGAGGCATTTCTCCTGACGTTTCGCCTGCATCTATGGCAAGCATCCTCAGAGGTTGAGAAGGTCAGACCTTCTCAACTCTGAGGATGCTTGCCATAGATGCAGGCGAAACGTCAGGAGAAATGCCTCTAGAACATGGCTCTATAGCCCGAAAAAACCCACAAGAACCTAGTGATTCCAGCCATGAAAGCCTTCGACAATACATTATTATTATTATTTTGCTAAGCAGGGCCAGGCCAGGACGGGACTTGGATGGGAGTCCGACAAAGCCTATGTGTCTTGCTTCCTGAAGAATTGCATACACACAGCATCAGAGAGGGATTCCACCAGCCAATGGGGAATCCCTATGTGATGCTGTGTGCTAAGCAGGGCTGGCCCGGGACGAGAATTGGATGGGAGTCCGGCGGGCTGTATATCAATGGGTCTTGCTTGCCGAAGAAAACCCTAAGCAATGCACAGTCTCCACCAGCCAATGGGGAATCCCTCTGTGATGCTGTGTGCTAAGCAGGGCCAGCCTGGGACGGTTCTTGGAGGGGAGACGGGGGTTTCCCGGCCCACTCACCAGCCAGACGATGACGGTGTTGTGTCCCATCTGCGCGGCGGCATGGAGCGGGGTCATGCCGTCGTTGGCCCGGATGTGTGGGTCAGCCCCACAGTCCTTGACCAGGTACTGGATGATCTCCAGGTGTCCCTCCTGGCAGGACAGGTAGAGGGGCGTGGCCCCGTTCTTGGTCTGCGCACTCACCGAACTGCAGCGGGACAGGCAGCAGGGAAGGAATATGCTAATGAGATGCTAATATCATGCTAATATCAGGTAATAACAGGTGAATGCAAATGCTAATGTACAACAACAACAACCAGGAACTGCAGCAGGACAGACAGCAGGGAAGGAATATGCTAATGAGATGCTAATATCAGGTAACAATAGGCTAATGCAAATGCTAATGTACAACAACAACACTTGATTACAATCCAGGACCAGTACAAAGTGTAAGGCTAATGTTGTGTTGGATGATAATATTATGCTAATTTTATGCTAATGTCATGTCAGCTTAATAATACAGGTTAGTTTAAGATATGCCAATGAGATGCTAATGTTATGCTAACATGCTAATATTAGGTTGATGTCGGGTTAAGGTCACGCTAACGCTGGTTGTGTTATTTTGATGATAATGTTATGCTAATGAGATACTAATGTTATGTTAATAATAGGCTAATGTTGGGCTAATGATAAGCTAATGTTAGCTTAATGATAATTATGCTAATTATGGTAACATGCTAATATTAGGTTAATGTCAGGTTAATGTTAGGCTAATACTGGTTGTGTTACTTTGATGATAATGTTATGCTAATGAGATGCTAATGTTATGTTAATAATAGGCTAATCTAATGTTGGGTTAATATTAAACTAATGTTATATTATGCTAATATTATGCTAATGTTCAAGATCGGGTTAGGCTAATGCTAGTAGTAGTTTGATGGTGATGTTATGCTAATGAGATGCTAATGTTGTGTTAATAATAGGCTAATGTTGGGTTAATGTTAGGCTAATGTTAGCTTAATGATAGTTATGCTAATGTTATGCTAATATGTTAATGTTCAATATCAGGTTAATGTTAGGCTAATGCTGGTTATGTTTGATGATATGCTAATGAGATGCTAATATTGTGTTAATAATAGGCTAATGTTGGGTTAATGTTAGGCTAATGTTATGTTAGCTTAATGATAGTTATGCTAATATTATGCTAATGTTCAAGATCGGGTTAGGCTAATGCTAGTGGTAGTTTGATGGTGATGTTATGCTAATGAGATGCTAATGTTATGTTAATAATAGGCTAATGTTGGGTTAATGTTAGGCTAATGTTATGTTAGCTTAATGATAGTCATGCTGATGTTATGCTAATGTTATGCTAATGTTGAATGTTGGATTAATGTTAGGCTAATGCTGATGTTAGCTTAATGATAGTTATGCTAATGTTATGCTAATATTATGCTAATGTTCAATATCGGGTTAATGTTAGGCTAATGCTGATTATGTTTGATGATATGCTAATAAGGTGCTAATGTTGTGTTAATAATAGGCTAATGTTGGGTTAATGTTAGGCTAATGTTATGTTATCTTAATGATAATTATGCTAATGTTATGCTAATGTTCAAGATCGGGTTAGGTTAATGCTAGTGGTAGTTTGATGGTGATGTTATGCTAATGAGATGCTAATATTATGTTAATAATAGGCTAATGTTGGGTTAATGTTAGGCTAATGTCATGTTAGCTTAATGATCATCATGCTAATGCTATGCTAATGTTATGCTAATGTTGAATGTTGAGTTAATGTTAGGCTAATGCTGTTAGCTTGATGATAGTTATGCTAATATTATGCTAATGTTCAAGATCAGGTTGGGTTTATGCTAGTGGTGTTATTTTGATGATAATATTATGCTAATGAGATATGTTAATAATAGGCTAATGTTGGGTTAATGTTAGGCTAATGTTAGTTTAATGATAATTATGCTAATATTATGCTAATAGTCAAGATCGGGTTAGGCTAATGCTGGTGGTAGTTTGATGGTGATGTTATGCTAATAAGATGCTAATGTTATGTTAATAATACGCTAATGTTGGGTTAATGTTAGGCTAATGTTATGTTAGCTTAATGGTAGTTATGCTAATGTTATGCTAATGTTCAATATTGGGTTAATGTTAGGCTAATGATAGTTATGCTAATGTTATGCTAATATTGGTTAATGTTAGGCTACTGCTAATGTGTTCCTGTTAGCTTGATGATAATGTTATGCTAATGTTAGGTCAATGTTAATGCTAACGTTATGCTAATATTATGCTAATACTAGGTTAATAGGATGTAATGTTAATATTATGCTAATGTTATGCTAATGCTAGGTAAGTCTTCATCATTATTATTATTATTATTATTATTATTGTATTTATTGCTTCTGTTCCGGTCAACTGAGAGTCATTATTATTATTATTATTATTATTATTATTATTATTATTATTATATGTATCGCTTGTGTTCCAGTTAACTGGGTCTTTGTTGTTATTATTATTATATTTATTGCTTGTCTTCCGGTTAACTGTGAGTCATTATTATTATTTTTATTGCTTGTGTTCCTGATAACTGAGAGTCATTATTATTATTATTATTATTATTATTATTATTATTATTATATTTATATTTATTGCTTGTGTTCCAATTAAGTGGGAGTCATTATTATTATTATCATTATTATTGCTTGCGTTCCAGTTAACTGGGAGTCATTATTATTATTATTGCTTGTGTTCTGGTTAGGTGGGAGCCATTATTATTATTATTATTATTATTATTGCTTGTGTTCCGGTTAGGTGGGAGTCATTATTATTATTATTGCTATTATTACTATTAAGTGGGAATCATTATTATTATTATTATTATTATTATTATTATTATTATTGTTTCGTTTAACTAGAAGTCATTATTATTATTATTATTATTATTATTATTATTATATTTATTGCTTGTGTTCCAGTTAACTGGGTGTCTATATATGATTATTTTAATGTAATACAATACAATTATATAATATATTCTTATATAAAATTATATTATTTTATTGCATAAATATATTTACAAAAATATTTTATTTTTAATGTTACATTAGTATTATTACGACTATTAATTATATTACTATAATTATAAATGCACTGGATTTTTCTTTTTGCAATGTTTTTCTTTTTGCAATATTTTCCTTTTGGCAATGTTTTTTTTTTTAATGTTTTTTGCAGTATTTTTCCTTTTTGCAATATTTTTCCTTTTGCAATGTTTTCCTTTTTGCAATATTTTCCTTTTGGCAATGTTTTCCTTTTTGCAATATTTTTCCTTTTTGCAATATTTTTCTTTTGCAATGTTTTCCTTTTTACAATATTTTTCTCTTTGCGATGTTTTTGCAATGTTTTTTCTTTTTGCATATTTTTCTTTTTTGCAATATTTTTCTTTTTGCAATATTTTTCCTTTTGCAATGTTTTTTGCAATGTTTTCCTTTTTGCTATATTTTTCTTTTGAAATTTTTTTTGCAATATTTTTCTTTTTGCAAATGTTTTTTGCAATGTTTTCCTTTTTGCCATATTTTTCTTTTGCAATATTTTTCTTTTTGCAATATTTTTTCTTTTGCAGTGTTTTTTTTTGCAATATTTTTCTTTTTGCAATGTTTTTTGCAATGTTTTCCTTTTTGCAATATTTTTCTCTTTGCAATATTTTTCTTTTTGCAATTTTTTCCTTTTTGCAATGTTTTCATTTTGCAATATTTTTATTTTGCAATATTTTTATTTTTGCAATATTTTTCTTTTTGCAATATTTTTCCTTTTTGCAATGTTCTTTCTTTTGCAATGTTTTTTGTAATGTTTTTGCAATGTTTTTTCTTTTGCAATGTTTTTCTTTTTGCAATGTTTTTCCGTTTGCAATGTTTTTCTTTTTTCTCAATGTTTTTGCAATGCTTTTCTTTTTGCAATATTATTTTGCAATGTTTTTCTTTTTGCAATATTATTTGTTTTGAAATATTTTTCTTTTTGCAATGTTTTTCTTTTTGCAATGTTTTTCCGTTTGCAATATTTTTCTTTTTTCTCAATGTTTTTGCAGTGCTTTTCTTTTTGCAATATTATTTGTTTTGCAATATTTTTCTTTTTGCAATATTTTTGCAATGTTTTTCTTTTTGCAATGTTTTTGCAATGTTTTTCTTTCTGCAATGTTTTTCTTTTTGCAATGTTTTTCTTTTTGCAAACAGGCAAGCCGAAGCTGCTGATGGCGATGTAAACGCATGCAAGGAAGGCTCCTCTTTAATGAATGTTTAATTAGGGCTAATCTCTCCCTCTGATCCGCTAATCAGGGCAATGGGACCCCAATCCTAAACCCTTTGGGGCCAACTGCATCCGCTGCGGCGCTTAATCCGCGCGAGGGGGGGTTTAAATAAAAGGCAGGCCCATCTGGCGTCCACCAGCCCCATATGGAGACCCCCAGAAAGACCCCCAGTCCCTTCCAACACAAGGATCCTAGGCTTCTATTATTATTATTTATTATAATTATTATTATTTATTTATTATTTATTTATTATTATTTATTTATATATTATTATTATTTATATATTTATTATTATTATTATTATGTAGAAGCCATCTATTAATATATTTTATTATTATTATTATTATTATTATTAATAATAATAATAATAATATTAAGCAGAAGCTAAGTGGCCATCTGTCAGGAGGGATCGGATGGTGCCTTCCCTTGCGAGGTCTCTTCTAACTCAAGGATCCTATGCTTCTATCGTTATGATGATGATGATACAGAAGCCCTCTAGTAATATATTATATTATTATTATTATAATTAATATTACTAAGCAGAGGCTGGGTGGCCATCTGTCGGGAGGGATCGGGTGGTGCCTTCCCTTTGGGGATGGGGTCTCTTCCAACTCTAGGATTCTATTATTGGTAGGAGGAGGAGTAGTAGTAGAATGCAAAGGCTATCTATCTATTATTATTATTATTAATAATAATAATAATAATAAGACAAGGCTGAATGGCCATCTGTCGGGAGGGATCAGATGGTGCCTTCCCTTGCGAGATCTCTTCTAACTCAAGGATCCTATGCTTCTGTTGTTATTATGGTGACAATACAGAAGCCCTCTATTAATATATATATATTATTGTTATTGTTATTATTAATATTATTAAGCAAAGGCCGGATGGTCATCTGTCGG